CATATTTTTTTTACAACAAAATTCCTAAGAAAAATACAAACTGATAGAAGAGCAAACCAGACTCTTAAAACATCAAAGGTGGGATCAGGTACCACGGAGGAACAAGAATCTGTTGTACATCGATCGATTTAATTTAGATAAAGGAAAAGAAGGTGTAATTGATATATATAGTATGGAAAAAATGGTCTTACATCTTTTAAATAGAAAAACATGTCAACATTCGACTAAACAATGATTAAAATTTACACAAAATGTTTTACAATAAAAAAGAAAACACTTGCTATTGTCTTCAACTCGACATTTAGATATATCGAAGTACTGTCAATTAACAATGCTTATTTCTATCTTATGATATATACCGGTGAGAAAGAAATAAAACAAACCACAGCGTCTTACACATCTATTTTGTATTTTGATATTTTACTAGAAAAAAGACAATAAAATAAAATGACTAACTTTTCTAACTTCAACTTCCCTCGCTTATGCAGCAATATACCTTTATAATCTGCATACAGTGTTCACTTGATTCGATACGCAAGAGATACTATGTGTATGAAGCATTTCTAAAACGAGATTAGTTTATGACAAACAAGTTAATAAGACAAAAATATCAGCAGTTTCATTTAAATTCATTATTTTAACTTCTATGATCGAACAATGACCTTATCAGCAATGAAAATATATCATTAAATCAGATGGTGACTGATTTTTTTCATACTTATTGTTAGACCATTACTTACACGCGGAATTGTCGACAGATTTTGGTGCTATTTCCCGATCATGAAAAGGATCACACGGCGGTTGTGACCAGTTGGCAGGGGATACTCAGTCCTCCTAGAACCTAATTCAAACTCTGATATTTTAAAAGCATGTGTTTGCTCTGCTCTGTGTATTGTTATATGGACTTTTGAGTTTGAATACTCCATCGTTATCTTCATATATTTCATTTTATTACATACTTAGTAATCAGTACAGGATTTTTGCATATGCGATATGCCTGACGTCACAATAGCCGTATCAGCGCTGAAATGCTGATATAGGTTATCAGCCCTGCAGGGCTGATACGGATCAATACCACACCCCTAGTAAATTGAACAACAAAAACATTACTTGTGATCATACACTATGTTTTGGTGGGTTCATATTCTCTTAATTTTAACTTTTTGAAAATAAGGATAATCTAATTCACAAATAATAGATTCTTTTCAAATTACGCATCAAGTGCATTGAAAGAGAAGCAGAAACAAACCCAAACCATATTAGACAATAGACCGTATACATGTATGTAAGAATTCCATGCATGATTATTTACATATTCTATTCTCAATTTAATGTGTGCTGTATTTTATTACTAAGTATATAATAAACTTATAAAAATACATACCATTTTTACATCACATCCTGCATCAGCCCTCGACCAATACACCCCTACTAATGTTATAGCTGATTCAAATTCAAGACACGTGGTTTAGGTTACCTATTCGAAAGTTATAGGGTAGAACCGGTTTTATAAATAAAATTGGCAGTAAACAAAAAAATTGCTATAGTCTGTTTCTGGAAACATGTCCTGTGAAAGATGTGTTCCCAGAGCTCACTAGCGACCGACACGCTGGTAAAAAAAATGTGTTATATCATCTACATTGACAAACCTTTGTTTGCCTTATATGGCTATTGCTATCAATGCGCACAGAGGATCTTAATTATCACGAGCAACTGACCAATTGTTGATTGAATACGTTTACGCCAAATACATGTTTACATTCTACTTCGAACACGTGGTTCATATCAATCTATCATCATGCCAATGGAGTGCTAAATAAAAAAAATGTTCTTATGAACAAAATGCAAACATTCGAAACTATGAAAGATATCGCAGGCGTATTTAATTTGTTGTTAACTAGAAAAAATATGTTTAATAAAATGTATAAGTAGTTAGTGTCAGGTTCAGAAAACCAGCAATTCAAGGGTAAGGAAAACGAACAGCTTCTCGTATGCATTTAAATGGACAAAAAGCATTTTTTACACTACTATACTCGTGATCACGTGTGTTGGCCAGGGAATCCACCTGACAATTGTATTCACCGATAGTACAATAAAGGAATTTATCAAGCGTAAAATTCCTGTAGTATTCGTAGTAACCCATAATGCAATCTCATTCAGCTGATTTGTCGGTTAAAGTCACATTGGTGCCTCATTTGCTAATCTGACGCCACAAAATATAGTCCCGGTTCCCATGCAAAATATTTGTCCAAAAAGAAATTTTAATTCATGACGGCAGAAAATTGTTTCGAAGAGAATACTTGTAATTTAAATTTAAATAAATTCAAGAGAGATCGATTGAAGTAATTTCTACAGAATGATATTATAGGGTGGTGAAAACTAAAACGCAACATAACTTTTCTGTTTACCATGTTTCCACATGTTATTCACTTCCTAGCCATATTTCAATGAATAATTTACCCTATCTCGCTGTAGTCTCGCTAACTCTCGCCAGAGCCACTGCCAGAGCTACTCTGAACTCATTGGGTTTTATAATAGGCAGAACACTGAAAAATAAAAGGTTCCGAACACATTCGTAGTGGTGCAATATCAGCCCTCGAGCCTTCGGCCCTCTTGCTGATATTGGTGTCTCGGGCTGATACAGGATGTGATATGGCAAAGGGTATGTATTATTCTCTATGTATGTTTAAATTTACGTTTTTCTATTTACTTTCAAAATAGTCCTTGTACTTGTCTTTAGATTTGGAATGGTATCAACAAAATAATAGATACGGATAGTCTTTTTATTTAAAATACCCTTTGATGTCAAATAATCTGGACTTTAAGATATCGCTGGAAATAATTGTTAAAGTGAAATATTGAAATCGAATTTGGCAAAATTTTGTGATTCCAATTTTTTTTTTCAAAAATACATAAATGTTATTTGATAGATCGTCGTCGATACATCTGAATGTCGAATGAAAGACTGTAATAAGCCTTTAACTCTTCTCTTGTTAAATATTTTTAATTAATTAGGCTTCAAAAGAATATGAAAACTGACCAGCTAATAAAGGAGTGCACTTAGCATCCATCTGATTTTCAACATTTTTTTTTTTTTTGGAAAACATGGTCTCCAAAAAAATTTTACTTTAATATTAATGAGGAACCCCAACATAATTTGAAGAAAGAAAATATCAATAAAACGTGTGAGGAAAAACCCCTAAGAAAGTTAGTTAAAAAATAAGTAATTCAAGTCAAAATCGAACAACATTTGTACCTTTTCTCTCTTTTAACAAAGAAAATAACAGAAAATCTCAGTTGTCTGTTACATCCCATGGACATGAAAGCTAATACCTATCTCAACGTAGACCAGGGATGAGTCATAACCGAACAATGTTTTTACGTATCAGAAATTAAAGCACATTATACTATACCTTCAAAGTTGGTAATGCAGAACTGGGCCTGTTTCGTTTCGAATGTGTGGTGCTTTTCTCACATACATGTCCCTGTGTACACATGGGAATGTTTTAAATTTCGTTTTTTTTTTAGTGATGAGATAAGTTGCATCAAAATCTGGTAGTTCGATGTATTACAAATCAACAATTATTACCTTTTTTTCAGTTGTTGCGAATGTAATCTATGATTCAGATCAATGATCTGTTTTCAGAGTATGGTCAACTTTTCCTTGAGCTACTCGAAGCTTTAAGAAAAATCTTTTTGAACATTTAACATTTATCATTTTATTCAGATATGAAATGATGGAAGTGATTAAGAGTTTCCCATCCCTTTACAAGAGATTTTTCACCAAAAACTCTTGTTCTCATCGGAGACTTTCGGTCATTTTAAGTTAAGGATCTTTTAAAGTTAGCGTAAAAAAATAATTCTTGTATGAAGATTTGAAATTTAAAAAAAAGTAAAATTACTGTATTTGTAGAAAAAATTGATCGTTTTTTTTTTTAGATTTTAACAATTTTCAGCATTATAATTTTTTTCAACGATACTCAATCTTATAAAGTTGTGTCTGTTTGCCTGTTTGTACGTTGTTAAACGTCCTTCTCGAGAATTTTTCACTCGATCATATGGAGACACCACTACTTGCCAGAGGGCAGCTACGATTTATGTCCTATACTCGGCACTCAGGGCAATTGAACAGAGAGAACTCTTTGTCGTGCCATCATCTACTGCGACACGGGACCTCGTTTTATAGGTCTCATTCGCAGGACCTGTCTCCACGTCCCACAGTGGGATTCGAACCCAAAACGTAAGGATCAACTCCTTACTTCGCGACTCTAGTGTATATGAATTTGTGTTTTTTCCCTTTTATCGTTGTAAGAGACGAAGCATAACAAAATTAAGTTTTATCTGTTTATTCCGTAACCTAACAATTATGAAAAATTATAAACACAATCAAAGTCCAACACGAAATCAGATCTCAGTTAGTCCCTGGGTATTTCAGTAGTAGCCTGCAAATGGAAAAAAATCATACTAAAACAGATGTCTCTTTAAATTATTATTTTCTAATTGATTAATTATTATTTATTATCGTACAAAGATAAATTACCTAGCTTTTTGCCGCCTCCAAAGCCGCCGCCTCCAAAGCCGCCACCTAGACCTCCACCTAGACCACCTCCGAGTCCGCCGCCAAGACCACCTAGACCACCTCCAATGCCACCTCCGAGTCCACCAAGACCACTTCCGTATCCACTAAGACCACCTCCAATTCCTCCAAGACCACCTCCAATTCCTCCAAGGCTACCTCCAATTCCTCCAAGGCTACCTCCGAGTCCTCCAAGACCACTTCCGTATCCACTAAGACCACCTCCAATTCCTCCAAGGCTACCTCCAATTCCTCCAAGGCTACCTCCGAGTCCTCCAAGACCACTTCCGTATCCACTAAGACCACCTCCAATTCCTCCAAGACCACCTCCAATTCCTCCAAGGCTACCTCCGAGTCCTCCAAGACCACCTCCAAGGCCGCTACCAAGACCTCCTCCGAGACCTCCGTATCCACCCAAACCTCCTAATCCAAGACCACCTCCGAGACTGCCACTTTGGAATGAACTACCACTGGAGACACTGAGTGCGCTTCCTCCAGTACTAGATGGGAATCCTCCAATGCCGCCAAGACCACCACCGATGCCACTTCCAATGCCACCAATACCACCAATACCACCTAAGTTTCCACCGCCATATGGAAATCCACCACTTGGGATATATCCTCCTCCGATAGGAGTTATACCGCTACCACCTCCTATTATTTGACTTCCACCTCCAATACCGCCCGGGAAACCACCACCTCCAAACCTGAATCCCTGAGGGATGATATGCAGTCGTACCAAGTACTGGTAGTACTGGACATATTGGACAGAGGTGGGTCCATATATGACGTAAAGGTAGTAAAGATATTGGATGTAGACGATGTACCTGTATCCACCGGAGGGGTAGGTGGGGTATGATGGAATTGTAGGATAGCCTATAAAGATACAAATTTAGATTTTTTTTTATAAAATCAAATTTATTTTTGCGACTAAAAATCATTTATTTAAATATACTGATATAATTTTACCAATGTTATAAGTGGCTGCCACGTATGTGGCCATCAACAGAAAACAAACTTCCTTCAGCATGTTGATCGGAGAAATAAACAGAGTAATTCTGAAAAAGAAAAATTTCAAATTCTTTAGAAAGATTGCACAAGAAAAGAATAGGATTCAAATGCAAAGAAAGATTAAAATGATGTTAAAGGAAAAGTAAAATTGAAAAGCTACCTTTGTGTTGTTTCTTCTCTGGGACTTCGGGCTAAACTGTATTAGTCTAAAAGTAAGGTGTCCTTATATACTCTAGAACAACCATTCAGATGGTCGTCAAAAACAATTATTGATTGATTTTGATGATTTTTGCAATGTTAAACGCGAAAGTTAAATATCAATATCAAAGAACTGCATGTTCGAACAATTATTTGGTTGTCCTGACATGTAAAGACAAATACAAGCTATGTCTAAATTATGCAATGACAATAAAATGACTACTCTTCATAAAATTACAAGATTTGAATTTCGCAACCAAATTTCTTGTATCACACGGAAATAACTGCAGACGTTAAGGAAGTGAAGAATTGGAAGATTCAAAGATTAACCGTTCAAGTAAACCTGAAGGCGTGTAGGCTGTGGTTTTGTTCTACAAAAACCTTTCAATCGGACACTAACGCTAAATATTGAGAATTTGCTTTTTGGATCTTTATTGGAGATTTTTGAAAAATAAGGTAGACCATATTCGTCGAGTAAAGATTTATTTTCAACCTTGCTATCTTAATGAATCCATTTCAATTGTTCTCAAATTTTACAAATTAACAATTTTGGACGAGTAAACATTATTCGGAATCTTAAAGTCTGTTTGGAAATTAAATGTCACACGTGGTTTTTATTAATTGTTTATATATGCATGTTACTGTTTTGACTCTAAATCTTAGTGTCAAAATTAAAAGTGGAGTGCGTCGTTCTTTACGCAATGAAAACTATAGGCGACGCTTGAAATCAGTTTAACATATGATATGTATACGGATTAAGAGTATGAAGATTGTAAGAATTATAAATGATGTTTATATATCACCTGATAATTGATATTACAAATGTACCTTCTTTTATTTTTTTATATAATGTTTGTGATAATATTTCCTTCTGAAAAGAATTCGATTCATTGGTCAAGTGCAAAATAAATAATGAAAAAATATATGTATTTGTTTAATTATTAATTATTTTCTTGCAAAAATTGAATTTTAATACAGTTTTTAAAAAGATAACTACAGCAAAAAAATTAATAAACTCTATTCCTTGTCCTTTTCTCGATTTCAAACATAATTCAACCAGCTGTAGAACATACTGAGTATCAGTCATTAAAAATTATCATTTGTTACGGACTTTTCAAAAAGTAATGAGACAAAAAAAATCATCTAATTTTTGGCTGTTTATAAATTAAAGAAAGTATAATTATTTGTAGCGTTTTTCTTCGAATAATTTCGTTTATGAGGGATGTTCAATAAATAATGTTTTGAACTGTATGACATACAATAAAGATATCATATGACAGTAAGCTTGACTTTCTCTCATTATTTAATCTTTAATGAATTTTTGACAGTTTATGTGACCACTTTTCATCACATAGTTTCACTGTGAGAAGCTGGAAAACAAGGGCTATTCGAGACACTGCATTATAAATGAATGGTAAAGAATAAGTAAACTAGAGTGAAAATAAAAACTTCATTAAAGCTGCTGTAAAACTTCTTAAAAATCCCAGAGAAATATTCACTGAAATATGTGACATTTACAGCAACCAATGCCTATTTTATAGACAAATGAGCAGGTGAATTTCAATGATAAAAAATGATAAAAGATTATTGAATGGGCATCAAAAATGGGTACCGTTACTGCCGACAAAAATTATAACAATATTTGATAATTGACTTTCAGACACATAGCAAATATGATAGACATCATTTCGGGAGTAGTTTACACAAAAATTATAAAAACTTATCCATACTGTGAAAACTTTGCCAAATTTAACAATTATTTTAAAATTCAGTAATTGTGTTTGATATTCCAGATAATAGAACTTGAATCTATTGCTTAAAACCCTCAAAACAAAATTTACCATAAGTTGGACTTGATAAAAACAGCGAAGGTCTGACAAGGGCAAAGAATTGCAAGAGCACAAAGAGAGATTTATATGCAATTTTCTTAAATAATGATAGATTCATCATTTCTGGAGGAGTAGCACATTTTTTAAAAAAAACACTGTTTTTAAGTAACGTTTGACGAAAGTAAAAAAAAAAAGCTTAGTGAAAAACTGAGAGGTCATTTTCCATATTTCGAAAAATGATAAAAAATGTTGAATGTGTTTTAACGACTAAATAATTGAAAAGCGTGTACATTATTTATTGAAAGCTCTCTTAACAATTATTTTAAAATATTTCAAGTAATTGTGTTTGCAAAATAGGTTTTTTTTCATGAGTAGAGAAATGAACAGATAATAGAAAGTTCACTTTCAGTTTAATAGAAAACTTTGAATATTCTTATCTACGTGTATAAATCTAATGATTAGTGGCCACTTAAAAGTTACACACCTTTACCCACCCAACAAATCGTTCTAGATGCATAGATTCGTAAATCAATTTCTAAACTGACTTCATCCATATTCTAGATTCTTTTGACTGACAAAGCTTATCCTAGCATTGCTGCTTTAAATCAATTCCAATGTCTTGGTGGAGCAAAAAACAAAACAAAACAAAACAAAACAAACAAAAAAAGCAAAAACAAAAACAAAAAACCTGCTTATCGGTTACACCCAGCTTGAGGTCTTTTTATTAATCATGTTTACATATTATTCCGTTGTCAATATCTGAATAAGAACAATGGCCGTCAGTTCGTAGGAAACAAACATGCCAGTCAAAATACGATCCAGCAATAAGTTGTATTGTCAAGTCATGTATTATTAACTCATATTAACAAACATAGAATAACCAATATTCTAAGGAGATTGTTGATAGCCTTGCAACATCAACTTTCTAGTCAGGAACTCGCCACGGGTTAAAAGTAATCTTTTTCAGCAAACCAAACCAGATGGGATATGTGATTTAAACTATATGAAGAAGATACTGAAATAATTTTACATATTAAGGGGAGAGTGTCGATTGAAAAGCTAAAATCCCTATCCCGTTTTCATATAACTTTTGTCGTTATACGGGATTCAAGTAAAACCTTGAATTTAAAACGAAGATGCTAGACCTTATGACTTGTTTACTTTTGATATCACCGGAGCATATCGAGTCAATAGATGTACATCATTTTAGAGAATTGTTAATTGAAAATTGTAAGCAAAAAATATCGATCCATCGAAATGTTCAAGTGAAGGCTATATCAATATTTTTTCTCCAACTGTAAATGGTTTAATTACATTACCAGACCGATATATGCATTGATATGAGACAGAATTTGTTCAAAATCTTGTATTTGAAAAGAAAAATATACACATTGTGGCCTCCAATTGGCATATAGATATATCAATTACATTTCGTCAATTAACAATATTTTTGCCATTCTTGTGTCGACAAGATATATCCCTGTGAGCGTGAAATAAAAGATACCACAGAGCATGGCACATCTGTTTTATATCTGGAAATTTTACCAGAGAAAGACGTTAATAGTTATCTAATAACCAAGCTTTATGATAACCTTGACAGCTTTAATGTTTTAATCGTCAACTTTCTTTACCTATGGAACAATATACCCTTATCAACTGCATACGGGTTTATATTTCTCATTTGATTCAATACGCAAGAGCATGCTCTATGCATAAATAAAATGAGGCATGTTATTGATTCGTTTTAATCGTCAACTTTCCTTACTAATGAAACAATATACCCTTATCAACTGCATACGGGTTTATATTTCTCATTTGATTCAATACGCAAGAGCATGCTCTATGTATAAATAAAATGAGGCAGGTTATTGACTCGTTTTAATCGTCAACTCTCCTTACTTATGGAAAATTATACCCTTATCAACTGCATATGGGGTTTATATCTCTCATTTGATTCAATACGCAAAAGCATGCTCTATGTATAAGTAAAGTAAGCCAGGTTATTGACAAGTTGATGAAACAGGAATTTCAGCAGTCTCGTTTAAAGTCATCATTTCGTTCGCTTGTCAGCAAGTACATGTGCAATCTATAATTAAGTCAAATGCTCACTGACGTTTTTCATTCAAATTGTTAGCTCATTAATGAATCTGTACTGAACTGTCGACGGACTTTTCCGATATTTCCTGATCATGACAATGAGCACACGTGTGGGTATGACCGATCTGCAGGGGATTTTCACTTCCCCATGGAACCTGATTCCACCTCTAATTTTTTTAGAGATATATGTTTGCCCTGCTCCTGATTTGTATTATTTTCTAGACTTTTAAGCTGGAATAGTGTTCCTAAATTTTACATATTTTATAACTGTCTTTTTATAATGTTTAGAGTAGACTGATCATCGTGAATATGTTGTACGAAAATATATTAATTTATACTCTCAAAAAATATAAGTTCTTAAAATTTTAAATATATAAAAACAAGGTGAAATATATTGAGATAAAGAACAGTATTCAAAATTAAAAGTCCATAAAACAATACAAAATAGTTTTGCCCCCAAAACATCTGAGGTGTGATCAGGTGTCATGGAGAAGTGAGCATCCGCTGCTAACCGGTCACACCCGCCTTGTGTTCCTTGTCATGATCGAGAAATAACGGTAAAACCCGTCGTCAATTCAGTGTATAAATAATGGACTAATAATTGGTCTGAAAAACGTCAGTTAGCATTTGACTCAATGATAAATTATATTTGCTGACAAGGTAATTGTATCGACCACAGAACTTACGAAATGATGTTTTTATACTAGACTCCTGATATTCTTGTTTTATCAACTTGTTTGTCAATAATGTATCTCGTTTAAGAAATTGTTCATACGTAGAGCGCACTGCTTCATATGAATACAAAAATAGGTCTGCTCATAACGGGGCGCAATTGGTACCCATTGGATTCCAATGGACCTGGTCTCCAAAAATCACATAGATATTGTCAATCAGAAAATCAAGCATCTTTTTGATGTCAACTTAAGAGTAATTGTTGGTACAATAAGAATATTTCTAACAAAATAGTTTTGCAAATGACCAATGACCAAGTAAGTAAATTTACGAGTTCCATTTTTATTGAATATTCAGCTGTCCATAATATCAAAAAGCCTCGACCTTAATTATCGTGGGGAATGGTTGTGTATAAAGTTAAAAAGTCGTAAGTTTTTAAGCTATTGATTTTGGCAAAACCTTTTGATTTTAAATTGTCCAAAAAGTTCCTTGGAACTTTTAAGTATCCACATCAGATTTACACCACTTCTTGAATATACTGTTGCACAGTCCTTGAAGTTTCTCCTTTACCTCTGTTAATATCTACGTGAGGAGTAAAGAAAGAGGCGTGGTTGAGCATTTACTGGAACCAACTATGTATCTTTGTTTGTAAAGATTTTTATGAAGTTACACTTTCAAGTTACTCTCTGAAACATTAAATGATTTTATTTTTGAATATGTTTGTCTTAAGATTAAGGACAATACAACATGTCATTTGCATCCTCTGTTTATTTCTTAACCAAACAAATATATCATGATACAATAAAATCAACATCCAGCAGGAAATCCATTTTGGTCAGTCAGAAGAGAGTTCAGTAATAGCCTGAAAAAGTAAAACAGTAATGCTTAATATATATTGTGGATGAATTTTCTTTTTAAAAAAGTATTTTTTTCTAAAAGCTACTTAAGCTCAAGAGAATTACCAAGCTTTTTTCTTCCTCCGAATCCACCGCCAAGGCCACCACCCAGACCTCCTCCTAATCCTCCGCCGATACCGCTTCCAAGGCCATCAAATCCACCTCCTAGACCTCCGCCAAGACCTCCTAGCCCACTGCCAATACCTCCCAGATTACCGCTGAGACCTCCTAATCCACCACCTAAACTGCCTCCCAGGCCACTTCCAAAGCCACCTCCAAGACCGCTGCTTTGGAAGGAACTACCACTGGAGACACTGAAAGAGCTTCCTCCGCTACTGAGAGGAAATCCACTACCACCAGAAGGGAATCCTCCTCCAACGCCACCAAGGGGCTGGCCACCAGCTAGATTTCCACCTCCATAGGGGAATCCGCCACTTGGGATAGATCCTCCTCCGATAGGGATTATACCGCTACCACCCCCTATGATTTGACTTCCACCACCAATACCGCCAGGGAAACCACCACTACCACCCGGGAATCCACCGATACCGCCGGGGAAACCACCACTGCCACCCGGGAATCCACCAATTCCGCCAGGGAGACCACCAATACCACCTGGAAAACCACCACTGCCACCCGGCAATCTACCAATACCGCCAGGGAAACCACCGATACCACCTGGGAAACCACCACGTGCGAAGTTGAATCCCTGAGGAATGATATGAAGTCGGACCAAGTATCGGTAGTATTGGAGATACTGGACGGAATTGGGTCCGTAAATAACGTACAGGTAGTAGAGGTATTGGATGTACACTATATACCTGTATCCACCACTGGGAGGGTAGCTGGGATAGGATGGGTATGAAGGAATTGAAGGATAGCCTGTAAATTATATTTAATTTTTTCGATCAAATTTATCAAAATATTAAAAAAGAAATTCAAATAAAAAATTTAAAGCAAAAATAATAAGTTATAATTTTACCAGTGTTATAAGTGGCAGCCACATATGTAGCCAAAAGCAGAAAACAAACTTCTTTCAGCATGTTGATCTAAAAGGGAAAAGAAGATTTCAAATTATAACAATTATGAACCCTAAAAAAGAATAATGAAATATTTTCCAGGATTTTGCTTGGAAATAGTTTCACCTAAAAGTTAATCATTGATGTCATTCCAACTAAACTGGTCAATACAAGTACAAAGGCTTATGGAAAGCGGAGAATACCTGTTTGATGTTTCTTTCTAGGGTGCTTGCCGAGACTGTGATCGGTTGTGATTAGGGATGCCTTTATATACACCACAAATCGAACTAAAATCAAATAAAATCATTACGAATTATTATTCACCAATTCTGATGATGTGTGCAATTCCGGTGGCGGAAGTGGAAAGTTAAACATGAGAAAAATGCATGTGAGGACGATTCATTAAGTATGTTGACAAGTAAAAACAAAAAACAGTGTGTCTTTATGACGAAACAGCACTGAAATACCATTCTTACAAGTAGTAGTTTTCAAAAATGTTGAATTTTGCAATCGTATCACATGGGTCTCAACAGTGATATTGCAACTATTATCAAAGTTTGCTAAATTTGTAAGACATAGTTTGCCAAACATTTTCAAATGGAGCTTTTACGTAAGCTGATCATTTTTTTTATTTTTAAATTCAATATTTAACATTTTTAAAAGTGTGAAAAGAATTTTTTATATTTAATTTTTTCTTCACACGTTTGATTGTCAATTAACTATCATGCTGTGTTTCAGTCAAAAGGATATGTCTTTACTCCAATTTTGATCTTGTCTTTTTCTACGGGTACATGGTAATTTTTAATCCAATGATGTCATCTTAATATTTCAATCCACTTAAAACTAGTTATGAATATATTCATGTACTTTACATGTTTCTTTCGTAGGGTTATCTCTTATAGGAACTCTTACAATATGTCACAATTTAATTTGGTGACTGAAAAAAATATATGATACGCATAAGAAAATTTGAAATTATGTTTGAGATACTTCATCTTTTATGTGATCACTGCCCGGTATATAGCATCATATTGCACAAAACGAATAGAACCATTCACTGCTAAAGTCTATTCATCGGTTTCAAATGACATTTTCAATTTCTTTTTTTTAATTTCTCTGTGCAAGTCTGCTATAAGATAGGGTTGAATTTCTTTTGAATTTAGTCTCCAGTTATTTCATCAATCACCATACCATGCACCATGTTTTATTTATGAAAATATGTCTTAAAATAATATTTTCAACTAAAAATGAAATAAGGTTTTATCTCTTGATTTTTCTCTATAGAGAGCCATTTCTCAGAGAAAGAGAGAGAGAGAGAGAGAGAGAGAGAGAGAGAGAGAGAGAGAGAGAGAGAGAGAGAGAGAGAGAGAGAGAGAGAGAGAGAGAGAGAGAAGATTACTATCTGCTGCATGTCAAAAAGATTCTGCCACAAGTACACTAAGGAAGAGACAACACATTCCAGTTTTACAAAACGTCCACTATCTCCAGAGAATAGATAAAAGTCATTGATAATATACTTTGCCCTGTGTGTCAGTAACCATGGTAATATATACACACACATATATATATATATATATATATATATATATATATATATATATATATATATATATATATATATATATATATATATATATATAGAAAGAAAATCAACAACAACAAAAAAAAAACAACAACACAGTTCCCAGAAGACTGTGAAATGTTAAAAGACATTCATGGAAAACAGTTAAGAAAATCTTAATGTACAGTACACTTTTAAATTTTATTTCTCAGCAATATTAACCAAAGCTTTTCTTACCAGTACGGGAAAAAGAATTTTTTAAAGGGGTAAGTGTATAAATGTACCAGTTTCTGCTTGACAGTTCATAAGAAATATAGGAACATTAAAAGTATATTGAACGAATATCTAAAACAATCATCAACAGAAGAGTGCATTTCTAAGTTCACTTTCAATTTATTCTTATACACGTTTTCTTTACACATATTACCCACCCTACAGATCGGTTATTGACGAAGAAGTTGATGAAACATGAATAACAACAGTCTCGTTTAAAGTTATCATTTCCTACGTTCTATGGTCGATACAATGACCTTGTCAGCAAATACAATTTATCATTGAGTTAAATGCTAATTGACGTTTTTATACCAATTGTTAGTCCTTTATTTATACATTGAAATAACGACAGACTTTTCCGTTATTTCTCGATCATGACAAGGAGCACACGGCGGGTGTGACCGGTCGGCAGGGGATGCTCACTCCTCCATGGCACCTGATCCCACCTCTGATGTTTTGGAGGCCCCTTTTTGCTCTACACCGACTTTGTATTGTTTTATGGACTTTTGATCTTGAATAATGTTTCATTGTGATACAAAGATTTGTAAATCTTTTATCTATACTTGCTTCAATCATTTTCATATATTTTCAGTTTATTCTAGTATGGCCGCTTTAAAGTTAATCAATTCCAATGTCTCGGAGGAACAGAAAAAGAACTCATCGGTTACACCAACTTTGAGGACTTTGTATTAATCATGTTAACAAAGTATTTTGTTATCATTATCTGAATGAAAAACTGGCTTTCAGTTCGTAGGAAACAAACATGCCAGTCAAAATACGCCCGAACATAAGTTGTATTGTCATGTCATGGATTGTCAAATCATTTTGACAACAAAGAATTAGTCTTACTCTAATGAGATTATTAAGATCCTTAAAGAATCACCTTTCTGGTAAGAAGCTTGCCTTGGGTTAAAGTTACCTTATTTAAAATACCAAATCAGGTGGAATACATGATTTCAAACCAGATGAAGAAGATACTGAAATAATGATGTAGAAATATGGGAGGTTGTTGAAAAGCTTAAATTGCCTGATTTTCATATTGCTTGAGTTGTTAGGTGAGGTTTATGTTAAACTTTGAATTTTAAACAGACGCGCTTGGTACCTTTAGCTTTTGTGGTCACTGGGACAGACTGGGTCAACATATGTACATCATTTTTGATAATTGTTCATTGAAAATCGCAAAAAAAAAAATAATAATGGATAAATCGAAGTGTCCAACTGAATGCTATATCAATGATTTTTTTTTCTCCAATTGTAAATGTTTTAAATAAATTTTTGTAACATTTAACATCTTATCTAATAAATTGCTTCTTGTCAGTTTTTCTCTCTATAATCAATACCCAACTATTTTCGCAGTGTTTCAAGGATTTATTTAGCTTAAGTATGCCGAAATAGTGCACGGCTTCTCTTTCTGAAGAAAATCTGACAGCGCCCACTCGGCTCGTGCACCGATTTTTAGGCATAGTGCATGCAAAGATCAACACTATTATATAAACAGTGCAAGGCTTCTCATTCTGAAGAAAATCCGAGAAAGCACAGGCCGGAGATCGAACTCACGACCCCGAGATTGTCAGTCCGACGTGTTACCGATTAAGCCAAAGACGCCGTTATCTATATTTTAACTATAATATATATAAACTTAGTTTTAAATATTTTACACTTAAGATGAAAAATAAACAAAATATTTTTTCTAAAGTAGTTTCTTGCAGTTTCCCCAATCAAAGGCAAAACTCTAGAATAAGATAGTTTAACAGGTTTTAATAAACCCATGTCCACATTCCATTACCAGTCCATATACAAGTTTGAGTTTGAGGTTTAAGTATACCATTCATTTGTGTTGTTTTCAATTAAATAATCATCTTGAAATTTTGTGTGATTCACTCCTTGGAAAACAGCACAATTTATATATTCTAGGGGCAAAGTAAAGATGGTGGGGTGTGTATCTTTTTTGCAAGGTTTTATATATATCTCTGTACTTGGGATTTGATTGATTGATTGATTGTACGAGGGTTGTTCGATATGTATTGTGTATTGTACGATATCTCAAAAGCATTCGATTCAAATAGTCAAATGGACATTACATCCCTTCAAAGTATTCTCCGTGATTTGAAATACACAATTTTAATCTCTGAATCCATTTCTGAAATGCGTCACGGTACGCTGATTTAGGTATACCTCTGATGCACTGACTGACGGCTGAGCCAAGGGCCTGTCGGGACTTGTATCGACGACCAGATAAGAACTTAAGTTTTGGGAAAAGGAAAAAGTCGCATGGTGATAGATCCGGAGAGTATGGTGGGTGTGGCAAGACGGTAACCTTCTCAGACTTCAAAAATTGCTTCACAAGCTCAGATGTATGTGATGGAGCATTATCATGAAGGAGGCGAACATGCCTAAATCCCGACACAGGACGTCGTTTCTGATAATATTTCTTGAGCTTTTTCAGTACAACATCTCGGTAATACCGACCTGTAACACTTTTGCCCTTCGGCACCGGAATTTGTACGGCTAAACCATCACAAGAAAAGAATATGCAATAAAGGACCTTCTTTGCTCTCATTGTCCTTTTGGCAACTACAGGCCTTCTACCGTGTTTGGTTAGCCATAATTTGTTTCCAACTTTTCTTACTGGTTCGAAATAGCGAACCCATGTTTCGTCACCAGTAACTATGTGTGCAAATTGTCTTTGATTGAAGTTTAGAAACATTTTTAGCAGTCGCTTAGCGGTTTGTATTCGTACCTGTTTTTTGGTTATCTATCAATATATGGGGTATCCATCTGGCAGAAATCTTTCGTACTTTCAAAATACGCTTCAAAATGAAATGCACCCGCGATAGCGATATGCCAACAGCTTTGGCAATATCACGAATCGTGTACCTGCCATCACTTTCAATTATTTCCTTGACTTTTGAGACATTTGTCTTGCCTGATACAGTCACAGGTCGACCCGACTTTGCTGCATCTTTGACGGACTCTGTGCCAGTCAGAAATTTCTGTCTCCACCTACGAACTGTCTCATAAGAGGGTGTTGCTAAAACGCGGAACGGAAAGCGGAACGGAACGGAAAACGGAATATACTATTTTGGATTAAATCACTTAAAATACACAAATTTCATCATAAACGATATATCTTGTACATATTCAATCAATACAAGTTGATTTTGTCATGCTCAGTCTTTTATTTACGATAATCGCTAGCACAGCAGTCACCTAGAATCGAATTTGAAAAAAAGGGGAGGGGTAAACGAACTTGAAAAGTATTACTTTGACAAGCACAAACACAAAAAGAAGACAATTGATTGATTCGGGAGGGGGAATAAGTTCCAACTCCAACATCTTTCAGTGCTAATTTTTTTTATAAAATATAATAACCTACTACATTAATTACATTCACA